GTTCAAAGTGTTATTCGAATGTCGACAGAAACTATTATGACCAAAAGATACTTATGCGTATAAACAATACTTTCTCTGCTGGTTTGCCTATTGTTCATTCGAATGCAGAATTTTCAACCTTAGTGAACTCAAACACATTGGCAAGTATAACGTTGACATTAGTTGACGCAAACTTTGTTCCTGTAAAACTTTTATGTCCTATGTATTTGTCAATGACGGCAGAAAGTTTCGAATTGGAAGATGCAACTGGTGAAAGTATTGTATTACAAGAACAACTTCAACAACAAATAGCTCAAGAACAACAAATGCAACAAATGCAACAACAAAGTCAAGAATAAAAAAAAATATTTTTTTTTTTATTTTATAAAAATGTACAGAATAGATGTTTCAGATTTTTATGACTTCCAAGCATTCAGAAATATGTGTCCATTTCGAGACTATAACAAAGCAGTCGAGAATTTGAAACGTTTAGTCATTTATGTTGACTCTGCCCAGAATGTTATGTCATGAAAGAATGGGATGTTGTCTTTAACAAACCTAAAGCGACAATAGTTTCAGAACAAGAATGTAAACAGAAACTTAAGAAAATAAAAGTTGTACAAGTTGGAATGAAGATGTTAGATGCTTGGATATCTTATTGTCAAAGTTAGAAGATTTTTCAGTTCGAGGTATAAAGTTTTATACACCTTCTCCAAACTTCTATTCTATCTTCACTGGATATAAATATGAACAAGTAGAATGGAAAGAAAATATTATAGAAGCTTGGTTAGACCATGTCAAAGAAATTATATGCAATGGAAACGAAAAGGTTTATGAGTATATCTTATGTTGGTTTGCAAACATCTTACAACATCCAAGTGCTAAAAATGAAACTGCTCTCATTATAATTGGAAAACAAGGAACTGGTAAGAACACATTCTTTACAGATATTTTGTGCAAACTGTTAGAGGGCTATTCGAACCCGAATATGACAAACTTAGAAAACATCTGTGGCAAGTTTAACTCCTCAATAGAGAATATGAAACTTATAGTTTGCAATGAACTTCAAAGTATAGATACAACAAAAGTTTTAAACTCAGATGCTTTGAAGAGTCTTATAACAGACAAAGTTGGAGTTGTTGAAAGAAAATATAAAGACCAAAGAGTTTGTGAAAATGTTGCAAACTTCATTATGGTTTCAAACAATACTGTTCCGATGAAGTTAGAAAGTTCTGACAGAAGATATGTAGTTGTCAGAACGTCAGAAGCTCATATGCAAGATACAGAATATTTTGACGACTTAGCAGAAACTTTGACATCTGACTTTTACAACCACTTGTTCTCATATTTCATGACATTAGATATTTCTAAGTTCAATCCAAGACAAATTCCACATACCGAAGAGAGACAAACATTGTTAGAAGCAAACAAGAGTGTATATGAACTGTTCATAGATGAAACTGACTTTGAGTGTTTAGATGAAAGGTCATTGTACGATTCGTATAAACAATATTGTCAAGAATATGGTTATATGACAGCTTCTAAACGAACATTCTTGGCAAATGTCAAAAGTCTTTTAGATGTTCAGAATGGTGTATATACAAAGAAAAAATTTTCTGAGTAAATTTTAAAAAAAAATATTTTTTTATCCGATAGAAAAGATGACGAAATTCATCTCAGTAAACAAGTACATGTCAGGACTTAAAGAAGAACTAGACCCATTCACATATTTGAATGTTTACTTCTACCATTTTGAAAAGTCTTCATTCAGCAAAGTTTGGAACATCGAACCAGTTAAGTTTGCTATTGTGACTAAAAATGGTGCGAAATTTGAAGACTTAGACATAGAAGGTTCGTTAGCAGTCAAAGAAAGTTTTGACAGAAGGTTTTCAAACCTTAAAGAAGGCAAAGCATACAAACTTGTTATACCTTATGAACCAAAGAAAGCAGACGACTATGAATATTATGAGTCTAAGATAGTTGAAGTTCAAGGTAAATTGGGTAAAAAGATTTTAGAGTCTAAGCCAGTGTTTGCTCCTAAAGAGGAAGAGAACATTGACATTGACCCAGAAATGTTCTAAAAATAAAATTTTATTTTTACATGTCAAATTTCTTTTTCTCTGGAACTGGTTCAGGTTCTTTCTTCTCTTCTTCTACTTTCTTTTCTTTCTTTTCTTTCTTCTTCTTTTCTGGTGGAGTTATGTCAAACTTCTCAGAACCATATTTATGTAAAAGTTCTTTGTCCTTTAATAGCTCTTCTATTCTGTTTTCTATTTCATCTTCAAGAACAGCGCATGTGTCTTCTTTGCATTCTAAGAACTTTTGTTGGACTTCATCTTTCCAATCGGTGTCATCTCTGTCAACAAGTCTGTCATTGACAAATTTTAAGACTGCTCTGCTTAATGTTTTATGGTTCTTGTCATATTCCCAGAAACAGAACTTTAGAACAAATTCACCTTTCTTGTTTACACTATGTAAGATTTTATGGTCGACAGATGTTTTGCTGTCGAAAAGCTTGTCTCGAATATAGATAGCGAAATCGCTAGACATTTTCTAAAAGATAAAAATTTTAATTTTTCTAAAAATATGTTAGAAAAAAAGTTTGCTGACATTGACAAAAAATTTGAGAATGTTTTAAACAAGAACAAGAGGAAGTTAGAAAATGCTCAGATAAAGCCTATACATGACAAGTTCTTATTTGCTCAGAATGGTATAACAGGTCTAATTGCACCACCTGGGTCGGGTAAGACTTTCACTTATCTTAAAATGGCTGCACAACAACAAGAACTAGATGAGAAGAACCCATTCTATGAGTTAGTAGTCATTTGTAGTACTTCTGGTCAATTTGACCAAACCGTCAATTCGTTCAAAGATATTATAAAGAAGTCTAAGTTAGTATGTATAAAGGATACTGAGTTGTTAGATTGGATAAAGAAGTACCAAAGAAGAGTTTTGAAGTATAATGCTATAAATGAGTATGTCAATTCGAAGTTTAAAGACCCAAATGAGGAAATGCAGAGAATATTAGAGAAGAAACACTTCAGAAACAAACAGAAAGAGATAGAATACATTTCGAAGAAATTGCAATCTTACGATTGGAAGACATACCCTCATAGATGTCTTCTTATCTTAGATGACTTTGCTTCTCATCCTTTGTTAAAGAACAGAGAACAAGACATGTGTCGAATTCTTAAGAAGCTCAGACACTTTAACATCTCAGTCGTAATATGTGTACAGACAGCA